GTGGCTCTAGTTCTAACACTTGAAGTAAAGCTGAGCACAATCTGAGTCGTTAGCTTTTTCACAGCATGTCTGAGACAAACCTGAACACACAGGCTAATAGGATTAGCTGAAATATCGTTTCTATAAATCTGTACAAATTAACTTCATTATGCAACACGCCGAGCGAGATTAGCCTGTCAATATTATTTCACTCACGGTGGAACTTGAGTTAGTGAAGGAGCCCAAACTTGACTTCACATTTAGTAAAAGTAAATTAATTATGAAAATATATAACAAACATTTGAAATTATTCACATATTGTACTTTCCTCCATATCATCACTGCTGTGTAGCTCAACAGAGTTCTATTATCTGTGTATCTCACTCACTAAAACACAGATTGTGATGAAAGTCAGTGTAATTACTCAGTTTTCACATCAGTAAATCACGGCCTTTGGCAGCTTTTTCAGGGAAACTCAGAAAGGCCAGCAGAGGCTGCTGCAGTAACAACTTTCAAAACAAGAGGTGAAATAGTTTATTACCAAAAGACACTATAATATATAATATTATACTGTAATGAACCACTTCTGTATTCACAGCTGGTTTAAAACTAAGTGAAATTTTGGTCCCTAACAGTCCTTTAATTTGTACTGATGGACTCACAAAACTCCAGATGTTTACACAAATCCTGTGTTATCCCAGAGTTAAGAAGTGATCATACAGCATATGATCTGAAGCGTCCTTCACAACAGTCTCTCTGAGACGGAGAGCTCTCACTGGATGTTTGTTGTTAATTGTTTAGTCTTGCAAACGCTGTAGTTCAGTTCCTTAAACATCAGCTCTGTGCTCTTATTCTCCTGCTCCTTCAGTGTTACCAGTCCCATCTACCAAGTATTCAAGTAATCCAAAAGTGCTCAAGTAAACCCTTGTTTGAGGACCAATCAGTGTTTCTCAGCTTGAGGATCCTGTTACTCTTTCAGTCGAGTCCAGATAAATAATAAAACAAAAAAGTCCTCCTACAAAGGAAACACAGCATTAGTTAATGTTTTCATTTACAATATATACAATAATTAAATATGTCTTCATGGATAATTGTACTGTTTAAAGACTCTGAACACTGACCTCCGAATCAGGTAACTCTGCTCTCAGCTTTAATGGATATTATTACTGATTTACTGCTTGTGCATTTGACTTTTAGTGTGAAACAGACTCTCAAACTGAACTGAGATTAGAGAGATGAAGTTGTTAAAATATCTACATAGGAATATGAGCAGGTCCTGTGTTTTCCAGTTCTGATCATAGCATTGTCGTTTTGTTTTTGTGTAATTCATGTAATGTTTCACACTGTGTTTCTTTGCATTGTGTGCAGTTGCTGAAGGTTTAATGCTGAGGCTGAGTTTAAGCTTTAATAGGTGCACACTGAAGTTATGTAACAGTGGTGTAAGGACATTATCTACAATCACCTTTAGTGATTTAAAATTATGTTTATATAATAACAGTGCTTTGTGTCAAATAACACACTGGGCTGCATCAAAATAGCCATTTCTTCATCACTTCAGTGTGAAACTCATGACTGTGTTTTCAAGCTACTGACCAAAACAATGTTGAGCACCTTAAAGTCCCACTCAGAGATCACTGCAGCTGCTTCAGGCTGCTTATCATGAGATCTAAAGTAGACTTTCAGATGACACTAAAACTTGTGTTCAGCTAAAGGTCCTTTCATGTTAAAATTCGGTCCAACAACACAGATACCAATGGAGCCTGCGACCACAAGGAAAGTCTCTCTCTCTCTCTCTCTCTCTCTCTCTCTCTCTCTCTCTCTCTCTCTCTCACACACACAGTTTTAACACACATCAGGTAAACTGTGTTTTGGAACTCAGAAGGGTTAAACTGGTTACTTTCATCTTTCATTCAGAAACTGAACTGGAGCCAAAGAATGTGAATCACTACTGACAACAACAACACATCCATCCCACCTCCCTCCCTCCCTCTCTCTCTCTCTTACTTACACACACACAATTTTAAAACACTTCAAACTATGTCTTGGAACTACTGACAACAACAACTACACACCTCTCTCTCGCTTACATCCTCATTCTCTCACTCTCTTTTCCTATCACACACACATGCAGTTTTTATTTATAAATTATTTTTGAATTATGTTCACATCATTATCCTTCCTCCAAACTGGTAGTTGTATTCCACTGTCACTACAATCAGTTCATTACAGACATTCTCTGATGACATCAAAATTCTAAACAGAAATATGGATTAGATTAAAGTCCACACAGTGCTACTGATTTAACTACTGACCACAAAACACTACGGGAGGCACTACAATATAATAATGTAAGACACTGGAAAGATTTTATAAATCAGTCATGTAATCCAAAATAGAAGACCACGTCACGACCCCTCAAATTATCTTACGACTCCTATATTGAGAACCCTGTGAGGTCTGAATCATTTTAATCACCTAAAGTGAATTTTATTTTTTCTGTGCCATCTCCTGTTTGTGTGTATCGTCACTGGTCAATATTTAGATTTATTTGACACACACACACACACAAACACACATATGCCTTGTGTCCAAGCTATTTAGAGCATGTTCTATTGTTGACTTACCTTTGTTGTAATAAACATTACTGAAGTAATCTGACTGATTCCGTTTTTACTAGAGAAATATTAGGGAAGTCTATTACATTTTATATTATATTATATTAATTAGGCAGTCATTATATTTCATTTAATAACATGTAATTCTTTATAAAAAATCATAAAGGTGCTGAATTGAATTTCCAAATTGTCTTGCTGTTTAGAGTAAAAAAAAATAAAAATAAAATTAAAGCAAATTTTTCTTAATTCGAAAAAATCGTTTTTGAATCAAATTGAAAGCCAATGAACTGTAAATTGGATTGAGTCGCTGTTCCTAATATTCATCACATGGGCTGAACACACATACAACTTATTCAGTGGATCTGGAGTGGCAGACGAGATGTGAATCTATCCCAGTAGAGGTTGCTAGTGAGCAGGCTGAGAAGTCCACTCTGCTACTCTGTGAGGGACCCCACTAAGTCTGGAGAAGTGAAACACACTGAGCCAGGGAAGGTTGGGGAGACCATTCCAGTGCTCTGTGGGGAAAGCATTGACAATTTTCCAGTTTCAGCACAGAGGAGCCACAGTGATAACAGTCAATGCTGACTGCATGATATGTGAGGCAGAGGCTGTAGGAGTACTTTCATTACATACAGCACGTTATTTTTATGCAGTTTATTCAGACATCAGTAAGTGTATTTGACCGATTGTGGAACTGTTGATGATATGCATTAACAATTGCAGTTATTCTATATGGCAAAATATGGCTGCATTATGGTTTTTCAGTGTTTATAATTTTATTTCCAAAAACATTATTTTTCTCAAACTGTTCATCTCTATTGGTAGAAAAGTGGAATCAAAAGTAAACCAGTTAGTACAACTGCGTTTTACTATATGTGCAACTAAATTAGCTGGCACATCATATTGGGTGCGCAGTGGTCTTTGCACTTAGCATGAAAATAATATAACACATAAAATTAAAATAGAAGTAAAAGTAAAAGTAAATAGAAAAAATAAAAAGCAGAAACTAAAAACCCCTAAGAATTCTGGGTACATTCTCTTTAGCAGTCATATATGTCAGTAAATCACTGTTTAACCAAAATTGAAGTTTAAAATTAAAATATAGATATAAAACGTCTACCAATATTTTGGTTCTGTTACAATTTTTGGTCACACTTTATCTGTGGTACAGTAATTGCATAGTATTTAATAGGTAAATATTTAGTACATGCCATTTTCTGATACGTTGCACGTCCATAGCATGTGGATTGTAGCATTCTATTAATATTGAGTTTGTGGAAGTTCTTCAGTCTACAATCTTGTTATTCAGTGTCAGCCTGGAGAGCCTGAGCAGCGCATAGTTTATTGTTTTCTTTTAAGAAAAATAAAAATATATATTTATATAGCACCATTCTCAAACTCCATGACAAATTCATGAAAAATTATCTGTTCACAGTGTCCATTTAACAGAGGCAGAGCCAGCAGGGGAATGGTTGCCCCAGTTCCTACTCTTGAGATGGCCTATGGACATGGCTAAAAGTAAAAAAAAAATCATAGTAATAAAATTTATATTCTTGACAGATTTCTGGTAGGTATTAATACAACTACAGTGGTGTACATGATAGAATGAGTTTTATTGTATTGGTTTTGGATTTAAGGTACAGTAGAAATCACATGGCTGTGTTATGAGGAAACCATGCTCTCATGCCATAATTCACACAAATTAAGCACAAATAAGCAGCACTGAAAAGAAAAACAAGGAGCTCTCTCAGTGTTGGTTTCACTTACTCACTTTTTGTCAACCAAAAACTTCAGCTTCAACCTCCAATAACTAAAAGTGACAGTGTACTTCTTCATGTATGGTTCTAAAAGGATGTGTAGCTGTCAAAAAGCCCGTACTGAGAAAAGGAAATAGATGTAAAAGAATAAGAAATAAACAGAATCATGCAAAGAAGCTGCTGGTGTTCTCAGAGTAATGGACTGACCTCCCCGGAGTCCAGACCTCAACATCACTGAATGAATTTGAAACTACTTGGATCATGAGAAGCAGAAAAAGCAACCTGCTTCTAAGACTGAACTTTGGAGGTGTGGAAAATGGTCTCTGCAGATTTCTTTGAAAAACTGAAAGCAAGTCTCCTGGAAAGAACAGAAGCTGTAATACAGTCAAAGGGTAGAGCAATTTGACATGTATTTGAGGCTTCTGTGTAATTCTCTGTTAAATGTGTGATTTCTGCTTTTTTCTGATGCTGAAAAATTAGTAACTTTTACTTATTAAAGGGTGGTCTCTGACTTTTGAACAGTACTTTTCATGCTGTTTTGAGATTAAGGAAAACATCTCTGTGTATCAACTACATGAAAATTAACATAGGAAAGATGTGTTAAAGTGGCAAAAATAGATAGTTGAAATTCTATTCAATCTGTTTTTAGGGATGAAGTTCCTCTTTGTGATGCTTCTTATTTTCTCTGACTTTTTGGAGTCTACGTCAGGTATGTGCACTATTATGTAAAATGCTTTATGTATGTTTGTGTGTTCACATGCATGTGTGAGAGAGAGGTTCTAGAATCTCTATTATTCCACCCATAGCATATTGAGAATTGATTCTCTTCAATTTATATCAGTAAATGTTTTATCTATGGTTACATGCATCTTCAGTTTTATAAATATTTAGATAAGAAAAATAACCAAAAAATACACCTAATTTTATCCTTTCTTGTAGTCTACGATCTGAAATGTGGATCTCTGTTTTAGATTTTTAATGCATTGCAAAAGAATGACATTATTAAGTTAAAATCATGATATTTCGACCCACATTCAAGACCTCCTTCAGATGCATTTACTATGCTGAAACAGTTTGGTGCCCATCAAATAATGTGTGAATAACAAGGAAGCAATATTAATGTTTTGTATATTTAATATATTAACATACATGTTATGTAAATATTTTTATTGCATTATTATTTTATTGTACATTGTTTTCTCATAATTACAGAGAACTTTAAGGTAGTTGCTCCAGCTGCTCCTCTTGTTGCTGATGCTGGTGAAGACCTTGTTCTGCCCTGTTCTATCAAACCGAGCATCAGTGCTGAGGATATGAGAGTAGAGTGGTTTAGACTGCATCAGACAGACAATATAGTGCATGTGTATGATGGTTATGAAGACAGAAATGATGATCAGATGGAATCTTACAGAGGGAGAACGGCTTTATTTAAAGAAGAGCTGCGGAAAGGAAACACCTCACTGAAACTCTCAGCGTTACGACTTTCTGATGAGGGAGCTTATAAATGTTACATTGAATCTGTCTTCTTGAATGATGACGTGACTGTTTATGTTGAAGTTAAAGGTAAGAACATATTTTCAGTGTAACATCATTATGAATTGTTAATTCATAATAAAAGTATTAATTTATCTGTATATTTATCTGTATAACTTTTAAGTGATGCCAACACAGACTGTACCTTAATGGCTTAAAGGAATGGTTTGGCAAAAAAATCTAAGTTACATAGTTTTCCCCTTACCTCAGATCAGGGGCATATCCAGAGTCTGATTTTTTAAGATAATGAAATTAGATTTGTGTTCTGTGAGGGCTGTCCTTACATTATGCCCAATCAAAATCTTTATGCTCTATGCTTCATTCCTGAATGTGCAAGGTATAGTCCAAGCAACCAATACCAAGCTCCATCACATTTTCTCAGCCCTCCAGTCAGTGCTTAGCAACTGTTTCTATCCACCACTGCATCAGGCCTTCTGTTCTTCATAAGTGTTTGAACTGAAGCTTCAGCTGTGGTCAAAAGATGTACCTGTGGGTTCTGTAAAAGTGAGTTCCCACCTCTCTCACTTACTGCAGATGGCACTGCTCTGTTGCAACTTGGGCTCTCATACTGCAGTTTGTTTTTGTTTGTTTTGTCATTTGTTTGCACTGATTTTTAACAGAACACTACTGTACAATGGCTCGCTTTAATGGACTGTTACTCGTAGGATGTATAATTTTGGACTCATTATTTTGGACTTATACTAGCATGCTTTTGTACCTTAACTCTGGTAGACAATGATTCAGTTTCTGTTTGTTACACAACATGGACATACTTTCCTACTGCGTGACTCTAACTTCTCTGCACCACAAGATCTGCCAGAGGATCTGCAAGCATCAGAGCCGAGGAAACGAGTGAGGAAGAGAGGTAGATAAGGTGGGATTAAGCAGCGACTTCTTCGCAGACCCCACAGACCTCCCATTCCTTGTATGAATTTTGGTAACGTCCAGTCACTGAAGAATAAACTGGATGAGTTACGAGCTGCTGCAAGATTTCAACTCGAATAAAGGGAATCGTGTCTGCTGGTTTTTATCCGAGAATTGGTTCCAGCGTGATCTACCGGACTCTTTGGTTTCCCTAAATTGCTTCTCTTTCATTTGGATGGACAGAAAAGAAATAGTTGGAGGTGCATTTGTTAACGACAAGTGGTTTGAGAGACTTTGTGCAATCCACATTTAGAGTTTTTATGTGTGAGTTTTAGACCCTTTCATCTTCCTCAAGAATTTGGGAGCATTTTATTGTGTATTGTTTACCTTCTGCCAGATGGCAGTGCTAAGTTCCATGATAGCTGACTGTGCATCTAAGCAATGTGCATAATGCAGCAGTGGTTACCACAGACTACATACATTTCTGTATTGGCCCTGTGGATCCCAAAATGTTATTTCAGTATACCTTAACAATAAGCCTTATGTCACAAAAGAAGTTAAGAATTGTATCAATCATAAAAAGATGGCTTTTATGAAGGGAGACCATGTTCAAATGAAGATTATTTAGAAAGAGCTCAATTTTACACTGAGAGAGGTCAAGAATATATACAAAAATAAAATTGAGGAGCAGTGTAACTGTAAGAATTCTAGGGAAATGTGGGTAGTTTTAAAACCTGGCTAATGTGGATGCAGGCAGGAGAGGCATTAGTACAATGAATAAGGTGGGAAAAGCTACTAAATGAATTCTTTTGTAGATTTGACTCAGGGAATGCTTCCTCAGTACAGGAACTAGATCACAAACTGAAGAGTGATGGGCAAAGGCCAAGATTAGTGATTGATCAAATTACGGTGCAGTCCCTGTTTTCAAAACTTTATCAGAGGAAGGTCACTGGGCCAGATGGGATTTCTGATTTAATTTTAAAGTAGTGTAGTGTGGCGTTAGCTGCGGCACGGTGCTCCATTTTTCAAATGTCTTTGGACTCAGGTGTGGTTCCAGCTATCTGGAAAAACTCTGTTATTATCAAATTGGACACAACAGGTCAAAGTCAACCAATGTCTTTCAGATATGAAAACCTTAAGTACAGGGAGACCACAAGGTTGCATTTTACGTTACACTAATGATTGAGTATGTACCCGGACAATTTTTTGTTTAAATTGGACGACACTGCCATTTTGAGCTTAGCACAAAAGACTGCAGCCTCATAAATTATTTTGCTGAGACCCAGGGATTTTTGGAATGACTTGATAAGAATCATCTTAACTTGAATTTTAAGAAGACACAAGAGATTGTCTTTGACCTAAAGGAAACTGGGAATCACATTCCAGTGGTTATTTATAGGAACACTATAACTCAGTTTTGTCTTTGTACCAGGCTGCAGCAGAGATTGTATTTTTAGAGGAGACTTAGAAGCTTTGGAGTGGATCAGAAGCTCATGATCCAGTTCTATAATGCCATCATAGAGAGTATTTCAAGATATGGAATTTCAGTTTGGTTTGGTAATCTTTCAACACAGCTAAAAACACATTAGCTAGTGTGGTTAAAACTGCTTGGAAAGTCATTGGTGGTAACCAGCACTCTTCACGTAGTGCAGTTTATGAGCACTGTGCCATTAGATTGGCAAGAATAATTATATCTGACCTGGATCATGTTCTTTTCCCACAGCCAAAGCCAAAAACAGTATGTAAAATATTGTTAATGTTGTTACCGCTCTTTTAATACAAAAGCACAAAAGCTAAAATGGGCTGTCAAAGCAAATGTTTACTTCAGTGCATCAAATCAGGCATAAACAGTCTATAAAAATTACCATGCTTGCTGTGCCAATCCCAGTCATGGTGACCCAGCACTATGCACATTTTTGTGTTTTGTCTTATCGCACCCACTTAATTCAACTCATTAACTAAATATCATACACCTTGTTGTACAGTAGGGAAAACACAAAAATGTGCAAAGGGTCATCAGTACAATCCTCTGCTGTGTTGTGTTGTTTTTCCTCACCTTTGTATGTCTCAGCTGTCTGATTTTAACTCGGTTATGTCATCTTCATTGGGCCAAAATTGAGCCTGTGGTAAGCAGACACAGAGTTTTATATTGAGGGTGTTTCAGCATTTTGTTTATGTCAGGGGTGTCCAATCTTATCCACAAAGAGCTGGTGTGGCTGCAGGTTTTTAAACTCAAAACAAGCCTATTCCACTTTCAGTTTTCAAACTGCTGATCAGGTGACCTCTTGCTTTGTTGGAATGAAAACCTGCAACACTGGCCCTTTGTGGATACGATTGGACACCCCTGGTTTGTGTGTATGCAGAATTCTGGTTGATGTGCATAGTCTTGCTATTGTTTTGTATGACAATAAGGTGTATGTATTGGAGGGTGATATCTGCTCTGCTCTGTGAGAAACAGGAAATAGCCTCATGTTATAATATTGTTGGACATTGCTTCTTTGGTTTAGTGCTGGAGCAACAAGGCTAATATTGTTAACAATTGCCGCTTATCCTTCGGGTCACTGGGGACCTGGAGCCTATCCCAGCAGTCACTGGGTGGAAGGCAGGATACAACCTGGACAGATTGCCAGTCCGTCGCAGGGCAGACAGACATATACATTCAAACACACGTTCGCACCTAGGGGCAATTTAGCATGTCCAGTTAGCCTGACTGCATGTCTTTGGACTGTGGGAGGAAACCGGAGAACTCTGAGGAAACCCACACAGACACGGGGAGAACATGCAAACTCAATAATTACCAAATCTTTTCCATTTATACATCCCCAACACTTCTCTCAACCCACTCAAATCGCATATAGGTCTTCATTAAGGTTGTGTAGACAGATCAGTGTGGTTTACAATAACATGGCAAATATGAGTAACCATAAGTGAAGTTCTTGGGATGTGTTTACAGAAAAGATTTGAGTGTCTACTGAATTCAAGTTTTTGTTAGCGACATGAGACTTGTACGTAGCTCCAGTACTAAACTATAGAAGCAACACTTAGACAACAAACAGGACTTGGATGATAGGCTACATCTGTGGAAAAATAATAAGTGGAAAATTGTGTAAATGTGATTTTTCACCAAACCATTCATTTAAGTGTAAAATGAAATGACTTCTGTGTTACAAACATGTAACGTGTGAGACAATGTCAGAGTTGAGTAAAAGTATTGGTATGGTGTCAAAATCTCAAAAAGTAAAAAGAAGTAGCTGATCACATTCTACATATCAGACTAGTGAATCTGCCATGTCTGAACCACTTTTAACAAACTCTGCATGTGTTGTTTTGATTAATGTGAGATACTGGAAGAAGAATTAGCATAGATGCAAGCAGTTCCATGAATATACTCATAAAATTGTAGGAAATCAAAAACAAAAATCTCATTGCCCTTGAAAGTACTTCAAGTAAAAAAGTTTAAGTAAAAATGCGTATAAAGCATGTTTTTTCTCTTGTAGAGGTACAAGAATTCAATTTCAGTAATACTTTTGTAAAGTACAAATCTTGCCAAATAATATAAAAATGTGTAGTAACAAATTTGTTAAGTATTTTCTTAATGTTACTATTAAGAAACTAGACTTAATGTAACAACTTAATTTTTGTTGCAGGTAGGCAGTGCTTAAGTATGACATTATCCTTGAAATATTACAAAGTACATCATGTGGTGTTTGACAAGCTGTAAAATTTTTGTTCTGTTTTGTATTTCAGGAAAAGGTTTTCATGCTTGGAAGATTGCCATCATCTGCATTTCAGTTTTTGCCATTACATTAATTGCCTTTACAGGTTACATCTTGAAAGGTATTTTTTATGAATTACTTTTAGGAATAATTTCATTATTTTCATATGTTTCATATGTGCATGTAAAAGAAAGATAATGATAGGCAAATAATTAGCAGTAAATATGTGTTAATATTTTCATGGCTCCTCAGTTCCCCTGTAAAGAGTGTTCAAATGGACCATGTTGTGTCTTGAACTTACTGATATACTGAAAAAAGCATTCACTAAGGCACTGGAAATGTGCTTTTATTATTCAGATTCAAACATTATTCAAATGTGTTTGCAAATGAAAGAATGTGTTACATCAACACAGTTCTTGTCAAAACAATCAAACTAGAAGAAAGCAATTGTGTTGATATAACAATAATATATTGTGTTTCAGAGAATTTCAAAATTTCACAAATTTGCAGCCTGCTTTCTGATTAATGCCTAAAGTACTTGTATAAAAGTTTGCTATGCCTCCACTTCGGCCACTTAAATGAGGGCTATGTACATAATTGTAGCCTGTGGGTGTTGCTTTATTTAGAGAAAAGTATTCTTCAGGTTTAAACTACGTTTCTGTGAGGCATAGAGCATCGAAATCATGGTCAGTAATAAGTTCATTTACAACAGTGGTCTTACATGAAATGGACCTTATATTTAGCAATCCTAGTTTTAGACCAAATGTGCTGCCATTGTGAATTGGTTGGACTGACATTGATTAGATTGGTAGAACAAACTCTTCAAGGTTTTGTGAAATTTTGTTTGATTTGGGGAAGAGACACGGTCTCAATCGGGTGAAACCTGTGTGGCATCTCAAGGGAGATAGCAGATGGTCATTTTAGCCTGTCTGTCTGCTGCATGGCCTTGGCCCTGGTCAGCGACTGTATTCTCTGCACTAATGCAATGTCATGAATTTTAAGAATAGAAATTACTGCTTTCCTGGCATTCCTGATACTAGTCTGTTTTTAAGTACGCAATACTGGACAGTGTTTAGACTATATTCTAAATGTGTAAGTATGGTCTAGACGTATTACAACATCAATATTTGAAGAATTCCCCTCCCAGCCTTTAAACACACATCACTTTTTACCAGCAATCAGACACTTGATTGTAGTTTGAGTTAAACTGCATATTTTGCCAGCCAGTTATTAATCTCTGCATTACTAAACTCCTTTCACAGATGATGAAACTAAACAGTCTCCTCAGTATTGAACATGTTCACAAGTGATAGTGCTGTTGTGGCAAGTTACATAAATGTCATTAACTGAAAAATCGCATGGCTACACACTTTGTATTCCAATTTGTCAGATTTTGTTATTGGGATATGTTGAATTATTTATTTAGTTCATGAAATGGCAGAGGGATTATGGGAGTAGCAGTGGACTGAAGCAGTTGATGAGAGCCAAAATAGTGAACTTTGTAACTTCATTTAGATAAGTTAATTTTTCATGAAACGTATTAACAGCAGAATAAAATAAAGAAAATTCCAGCAAGAAACAGGGTAAATTAAATGAAAAATACAATAGTATGTATTCTAAATGCATTCTGAATATGTATTTTTTCAATGTGTTGTAACAGAATGCTTTACTGAATACATTTAAGACAGTATATATTTAGTTTTCAGCCAACACTGCTTTTTCAAGGTGTTCTGCACAACTCTGGCCATAACACAGATCAAGAATGGCAAACAAGTTTGGCAGTTAACATATTGCAGGAAAGTTGGGAGGTGTGTTGCTAAAGAAAGTGTTTTAAATTCCCTGAGGAAACATTGGTTGATCAACTGATCATGTAAGCATGTTGTTAAAACTATCAAATATGTGCTCAGCTCCTTCCTTATTATTAGGGCCCAGAACATAAACCAATATAATACAACTGCAATTCCAAAAAAGTTGGGACACTGTGTAAAATGTAAATAAATGTAAATAAAAACAGAATGTAATGATTTGCAAATCTCATAGACCCATATTTTATTCACAGTAAAACATACAACACATATCAGATGTTGAAAGTGATAGATTTTACCATTTCTTGAAAAACATTAACTCGAAAAACATTAACTTGAAAAACAGAACTTGATGGCAGCAACATATCCCAAAAAAGTTGGGACAGGGGCAACAAAAGCCTGGAAAAAGTAAGTGGTACTAATAAAAAAACAGCTGGAGGAGCAATTTGCAACTAACTCACATGACTGGGTATAAAAAGAGCATTTTAGAGAGGCAGAGTCTCTCAGAAGCAAAGATGGACAGAGGTTCACCAATCTGCGGAAAACATTTAAAAATTGTGGAACAATTTCAGAAAAATGTTCCTCAACGTAAAATTGTGAAGACTTTGGCTATCCCACCATCTATAGTACATAATATCATCAAAAGATTCAGAGAATCTGGAGAAATCCCTGTACGCAAGGGACAAGGCCAACGGTCAGTATTGGATGCTTGTGATCTTTGGGCCCTCAGGCGGCACTGCATTGACAACAGGCATGATTCTGTACTGGAAATCACTGCATGGGCTCAGGAATACTAAATCATTGTCTGTGAACACAGTTCACCATGCAATCCACAAATGCAAGGGAAAGCTGTATCATGCAAAGAAGAAACCATATATAAACAGGATCCAGAAACGCCTCCAACTTCTCTGGGACTAAACAAGGTGGAAAAGTGTCCTGTGGTCAGATGAATCAAAATTTAAAATTCTTTTTGGAAATAATGGACATTGCATCCTCCAGACTAAAGACCTACCAGCTTGTTATTAGCACACAATTCAATAGCCAGAATCCATGATAGTATGGGGGAGCATTAGTGCACATGGCATAGGTGTATTGCACATCTGTGAAGACGCCAATAATGCTGAACAAAATATACAGGTTTTGGCAACATATGCTGCCACCCAAACAGTGTCTTATGTATTATGAATAAAATATGGGTCTATGAGATTTGCAAATCATTGCATTCTGTTTTTATTTACATTTATTTACATTTTACACAGCATCCCAGCTTTTTTAGAATTGGGGTTGTAGTTACCTTCCCAAATCATGGGGTAAAAAAGTGTAAAAAGACACCACCAGGATTTCATAGTCTTTGTGCATATCTGTTCAAATGACTACTGGTAGAGGATGTCCGCTTCCATGCCCCCTTAGCCAATTTCTAATTCTTCCTCGGGCACATTTTCTCTTCACTTTTTACTTCTTGCTTATTCTTAAAAGGTAGCCGGAGAAGAAAACCATCATCTGTGACCCCAGACTGTTTTTATTATTACTTAAAGAAAGCAAAAACTCCTGGGAATAAGTGATAGTAAGGAGCTACATAGCTTATTCTCCACATGACTTGGCATTTTCAGAGTTGCTGGCAAGGTGCTAAATAGAGGGGGGTGCTGGGGGATCCGACATCCCCTAAATAACCTCTTGGATCCCCTGAATGTCTCAAAATCAACATTCTAGGGGGTCCCTGAAAAATAAACTGTTATGCTGTCCCTTAGGGAAAAATGTAAATTCAGGGAAAGTTATTGTTCAGCTGCTTCACCCACCATCAGCAAGCTTGTCTTTAATATTTTTAACTAACTAGAACTGCAGCACTGGTCTACCTCAGGGTGGCATTTTAGCAAATTGGTTCATTCAGTTGGTCCTTCATAATCTAGAATGATGACTATGCCCAGAATATCTCTAAAAACTTTACAATATGCTGCAGCATGTTTGCAACACCGGCACAATTTCCCAAGAGTTTGTTACTCATTTTTCAAAAGAAGACAAAAGAGGAGAAGTGTAAGATCTCAGTTAATGTATAAAAAAGACAATTTCCAGAAGAAGAATTGTTAAACCAAACCTTTTGTTGCCATTGAAGCTAGCAACAGTGCCACTATGGTGAGTGAGTTAGAAGCCAGCCAATACCAGGGGTTATTTTGCACACTGCTTGCAGGAATCCCTTTGAGGTATCGAAATTAATAAATATAAACATACCATACCAGCAAAAGCGGCAGAGATTAAGTAAAACAATGAAACCATAAAACAATCACATAAGCTACAAAACCAACAAAAAGACAATTAAAAACTGAAAATTAAACATTAAAAACACTAATGGCAGATAGTGGTCATACACAGGGTCATGCAGCAAAGTTGTGCCCCTGGCAGTAAGGACAAACATACAAATCACACAAGACACAGGAGAGCTCAAAGTTCACAAGATGGGGCTATACAAAACACAGGTGACGGAGGTGATGAGGGAAAAATCACAGACACTCATTTTTACATCCCTAGAAGTGTTATATAAAACATCACTTAAAATACTGAGGTTTAAAACAATAAGTAGATCTGCCATTTGTTGTAGTGACAATTCCCAAATCATCAGAAGCACATAGCTAATGAATATTCATGAATGAGTTTTTCGATAATAGTAATTCTCTTCTACTGTACACTTCAAGATATAGTTAGAAAGTCATATATTCAAACAGTTTCTGTCACTGGATGATGGTAGTATCTAAAGGCTTTCCGTTGTTTCCCTCTAATTTCAGATAAATTCTCAAAAAAGAAACTTTCTCCTAAACAATGCTCAGTCATAACCTACATGCGTCTCCAGTCAGAGAATGTGAAGAAAGAGTTGGACCTCAAGAAATTCAACACATCAGAGGAGGGATACAGTAGACTCATCCCAGCTATCACAAACTGCAGAAAGGCTCAGTGAGTGTTTGACATAAATATTATAAAGATAATATTAATACTGTGTTATGACTTAATGGTCTGTATAAAATGTTAAATAAGTCTAGGTAGTCTCATAGATGGGGTATAATTTCTTTTGCTTTTCATTAGAAATTGACTCTAGAAGTTATGCAGTTTCTTTTCCTGCAGTCCTGGATAAGGCCAAAAGTCATAAATAAATCATTAAATAAATTAAGTCAATAAAATATTTAATTGGTAAATTTCACTGAAAACACTAAAGTATGACTGAGCATGTATAACTATGTATAACATAAAATATTATGTTGAGGTTTAGTTTATTATATTATAATAAGACAGGCTCTTATTTAAATGAGAAAGCGTTGTTTTACAATGAACGAAAGAAAAATGTGGCTTACATAGTATTAGAACAAGATGAGTTGTTTATTGAATATCATTGATGTTTTCACTGATATTTTTAACACTATTGAGGGAAGCAATCCCATACAAAGAAACCTGTGGTTGTTAATAATGAATGTTTTGCACTTCTGGGAGCCTCAAGACAATTTTGTTGTTATGAGAAAATATATTTAGTTGTAATGTGTAAATTTCTATTTTGTATGTTAACCAGTTTAATTTTGTATCATGTCATAGATCACTATTTTCTTGATTTAGATGAAAGATATGTCATGTAATAGTAAAATAAACAGCAGTAAACATTGCGTACTACAGTATGTAGTCATTATACCGGTTAACCTTGGTTAATTGAGAACAGTCATGAACATCTTTTGTAGATTAAAAAGCAGGAAGCTATTCTGTGAGTTCTTGCTTTATAAGATTCTTTGCAACCCAGGGAAGTCTTTAAACAGATAATCACCATTAAGCAAGTAGGAGAAAATAAAGGAGGAACCAAGGAAATGTGTCTCAAAACCTTATCAGACCAGTACAAGAATGGGCAACACTTTACATTAAGTGTTGACTAACTAACATGAAGTAATGCATTAGTTAACATGAACAACACATGAAGTAATGCATTAACAAAGGTTACCTAATGTTAAGTAAACATGTTACAACTGCATTAGTTAATGCTGTTTTCATGTGAAGTGTTGACTCATTAACATTAAGTTATGCATTTATTAACAACTAAGGTTCTACATTGATAATGGTTAACTAATGTTAATTAAACATGTTACCACTTCATTAGTTTATGTTCCAGTGTTTTGCTTGTGTACTGCAGTTATACATAATGCTTGAAAAAGCAATGTTAAGTAATAGTTTAATTGGCTGAAATGACACTTTACCAATGGTAGCCACTAACTTGTTTTATTCACTTACTTCCATTTACTGATGTAGTATTTTGTACTGTATTTTTAAATAAAACCTTTACTCCCTCCCTACTGCTCTTCCTTCAGTTCCATTTCAGTCATTTAGGTGTAGTTGGTTGTTGGGGTTTCATTGTGTCGTCTCGTTGAGGTGGTTCAGCTCCTGTTTTGCTTCTTTGTCGCTCACACCTCTCACTTTGGAGCTTTAATATTTTATTTTAGATGCAAAAGGAAATAAAAAGCTAATAATATAGTCTTCAGTTCCTCTGCTGAGAGATTCTGGATGTACTGAGCTTGACTGGACCTTTCCAAGTTACTCATTACTTATGTATGTAAATGAGCGCAAGGTAATATTTTCTTTTATATTTTAGAGCTTACATTAATATGCTACAATCTGATGTATGTTAGATAAGCTTATGTGTGTATTGCATCATACATTTAGAAATTATAAATAAAAACATGATCGTATAAACAGACATTTTCATCAAAGGAAACTACTCAGAGAGCATAACATGCTTTATGTTAAAACCAATAATGTCTTAAAATGTTAATAAATGTTACTAACATTTATTAAAAATTACTAAAGGTTTATAAGGTGTTGTTCAGTGAATTTAATATACCTGATGTAAAGTGAAAACCAATAATGCCTTAGTAATGCATTACAAACATCTATTAAACATTACTAAAGGTTTATAAGGTGTTGTTCAGTGAATTTAATATACCTGATGTAAAGTGAAAACCAATAATGCCTTAGTAATGCATTACAAACATCTATTAAACATTACTAAAGGTTTATAAGGTCTTGTTCAGTGAATTTAATATACCTGATGTAGTGAAAACCAATAATGCCTTAGTAATGCATTACAAACATCTATTAAACATTACTAAAGGTTTATAAGGTCTTGTTCAGTGAATTTAATATACCTGATGTAAAGTGAAAACCAATAATGCCTTAGTAATGCATTACAAACATCTATTAAACTTCACTAAACATTAATAAGGTTGTGTTCTGTGAGTTGAATGTACCTGATATAAAATGAAAGAGTAGTCCTGTATTAGTAAAGTACTAGATACTTTAATGCTATAATCTGAAAGCATTACACAATGTTAAACAATAAACAATGTATACCTACACATTCAGCTACCCAGTAGAAATAGAAAAAAAAACATAGATATATTTTTTCTGTATATGTGAAACGTTCAGTTCATAGCATTATTAAATTAACACAAAATGACATGGTGCAACTAAAAAAGAGGTTCATCACAGAGCTGGCGGTGTCTCTGGTGTGGATAGCTCTGAAATGGAAGCAGTCTGTGCACTTGTGTTGCAGTCTACCCCGTATTTAATAGATGTTTGTAATGCATTACTAAGGCATTATTGGTTTTCACTTTACATCAGGTATATTAAATTCACTGAACAAGACCTTATAAACCTTTAGTAATGTTTAATAGATGTTAGTAATGCATTACTAAGGCATTATTGGTTTTAACATAAAGCATGTTTTGCTCTCTGAGTAGCTTCCTTTGATGAAAATGTCTGTTTATACGATCATGTTTATATTTACAATTTCTAAACATATGATGACTTCCTAAAAATGTCCCATTCACACTCACACATGCATGATGAAATTTGGAATGAGGAAGAGAAATTGGGTAGGTGAGTAAATAATTTCAGTATGCTGCCCCATCCAGGCCTGACTGATATGACTGAGAGAATGGTATATATAATTCCTTCTTGCAGTACACACATAAGCTTATCTAACATACATCAGAATGTAGCATATTAATGTAAGCTTTTATATATAAAATAAAATAAAATATTACCTTGTGCTCATTTACATACATAAGTAATGAGTAACTTGGAAAGGTCCGGTCAAGCTCAGTACATCCAGAATCTCTCAGCAGAGGAACTGAAGACTATATTATTAGCTTTTTATTTCCTTTTGCATCTAAAATAAAATATTAAAGCTCCAAAGTGAGAGGAAGAGCAACAAAGAAGCAAAACAGGAGCTGAACCACCTCAACGAGACGACACAATGAAACCCCAACAAGCAACTAAACCTAAATGACTGAAATGGAACTGAAGGAAGAGCAGTAGGGAGGGAGTAAAGGTGTTATTTAAAAATACAGTACAAAATACTACATCAGTAAATGGAAGTAAGTAAATAAAATAAGTTAGTGGCTACCATTGGTAAAGTGTCATTTCAGCCAATTTAACTATTGCTTAACATTACTTTTCAAGCATTATGTATAACTGCAGTACACAAGCAAAACACTGGAACATAAACTAATGAAGTGGTAACATGTTTAATTAACATTAGTTAACCATTATCAATGTAGAACCTTAGTTGTTAATAAATGCATAACTTAATGTTAATGAGTCAACACTTCACATGAAAACAGCATTAACTAATGCAGTTGTAACATGTTTACTTAACATTAGGTAACCTTTGTTAATGCATTACTTCATGTGTTGTTCATGTTAACTAATGCATTACTTCATGTTAGTTAGTCAACACTTAATGTAAAGTGTTACCCAAGAATGAAAAAATTACATGGAATGACACCTTTACATTTTATTGTTCAGATAATTCCAAATACAAACCACAGTTTATAAATCTTTATATATTTTACTTACTATCTTTTCTTCCCCGAATGTAGATTTGCTGGCTGTAACCTCACTGCACAGTCCCTTGAAACTTTGAATACAGCTCTACAAACAGAAAACTGTTCCTTGAAAGAGCTGGACCTCAGTAAAAACGACCTACAAGATTCAGGAGTGGAGAAGCTCTCTGCTGGACTGAGGAGTTCACACTGTAAACTGGAGATACTCAGGTCAGAATATTACATAAAAACAGCAACAAAAAAAACAACAATAATATATATATATATTCTTTACCAGAACTATGAAAATATCTAACTAATATAGTAATATACACTTATTCTGCCTTTGCAGACTTGCTATGTGTAAACTCAGTCAACAGTCCTGTAACATACTGCAGTCAGTTTTACAAACTGAAACCTCCTCACTGAAAGAACTGGACCTCAGTAACAACGACCTGCAGGATTCAGGAGTGGAGAGGCTCTCTGCTGGACTGAAGAGTTCACACTGTAAACTGGAGAAACTCAGGTCAGTATTTCCATGATTATTATAATTATATCCTTGGTAAAGATGGGAAAACAAAAGGTCAGGAAAAAAATAATAGAAATAAAGTTAGTCTAAGAAAATAAAAACCCTTATCAATTTTTTTCAAATCTAGGTGTAATTATTGGCATTCCTGCATGTGTAACCTCCCTATACATAACCTATAAAACTTGACAAGATTATAGAATACAGAGTAAGGAATCTGAGACCCTCCTCAGTAAAGAATCTCAGATTCATATGGTTCTGGATCCCTTTCTCTTTTGCACTCTCCTCTTCACAGCTTTTCAGTAGGGTTTTACTCAGGAGACTGGGGTGGCCAAGTCAAAAGCTTAATTCTGTGAAACATTTTTGTGTATATTTGAAGTTATGTTTTGGATAACTGTCTTGCTGGAAGGTCGAACCACAATTACTTTTTGGGTATATTCTTTTACTTTGTGGATTCCCTGATGTCATGTATCCTCACACTTGACCACTGATTAATGGGGGAAATGGGGGTTTACCAGTTATGCTTAAATAAATGAACTACACTCTGTAACTGTAGAACTTTTGTATCTGTTGTATTTGTTCTCCCTTTGCAGACTAGCTTTGTGTAATCTTGGGAAATATACATGTTACACTCTGGGATCAACACTGCAAGCAGAAACCTGGTCCCTGAAAGAGCTGGACCTCAGTAAGAATAATCTACAAGATTCAGGAATGGAGGACCTTTCCCATGGACTGAAGAGTCAACTCTGTAAGCTGGAGATACTCAGGTCAGAATCACAAAGGAGCTATTCTATTCCAGCATTATAGAAGTATGCAACTCATGTTTATACAGTATTTTGCAAAATTAAGAAACCACTCTTTCATTTATTTGATTTACATGATAGCTTTTAGCAGACTATCAAAGCAGAACACTTTAGCACAATTAAACTTTTAACTGGCTAACTGAATCTAACCAAAATAACCCTTTGTTTTAGTTTCTTGTCCATTAAAACTGTCCATGCTACTGCTCTGGCTGAGTTTCAGATGATTTGCAGGATGTGCTACATTATGCAGTACAAGTTAATTTTAGATTCATGTCAGTTTCAGGCAAGTGAAGTTGCATAAAAGTTTAAAGATAGCCTAATGTTACAGTGCAAAGTAGCAGATTCTTAATTCAGCAGCAGGGATTACCAACTGAACACTTTTTCTGATCACATTTAGGTTTGTTATGAACAGAATTAGTGCACATAATTGGCCAGTGAGTCTGATAGGAGTACATGAATAGTGTAGGTGTACATAATAAACCAGCAGCAAAGTAAGTATGTATCTGTAATTTAATTAATTATAATTATTTTAAACATGCACAATTGTGTATGTTTTTACATTTATGAAAGTTGTTATAGATCCCCATGTCTGGTAAATTATCTATAAAAACTCATTCCATCAATTCTGCAAAGACATTAACTACTCTGTCTTTTACTACCCTGAGTAATAGAAATATGAAATAGGTTGGAGTTATGTTCTCTTTATAAGTCAAATTATAAAGTATTTCTGTGTGATTCCATGTTTTCTGACTGAACTGTGTTCTCTAAGGTATTTACTCTCTCTTTGCAGATTAGCCATGTGTAATTTCACTCTGGAGTCTTGCAAATCTCTCACATCAGCCCTACAAACAAAAATCTCCACCCTGAAAGAGCTCAACCTTAGTAACAATGAGCTGCAGGATTCAGTAGTGGAGCTGCTCTCTGCTGGACTGAAGACTGGAGACTGTAAACTGGAGATACTCAGGTCAGTGTTCCTGTCAGTTTTTTTCTGGAAAAAAAAACTCATTAAAAATAAAGCTCATAAGATTTAAAGCCATTTTTATGAAGGCTAATATTTCTTTATTTATAAATATTACCTGACATGTTTTAGTGAAATAATGAAGAAATGGTGAGAAAATGAACTATTGCTGTAAGTTTGTCAACAGTACAGAGATGTTTCATCTTAAGAAAAATACAGTTAGATGGTGGAGTTAAGTCATGTCCATGTCTCCTGATCTCTGAGTAATATTACAATGTTACAAATTCTTTCTTTATTGTTGACAATCAGCAAAAGTCACCGAGCAAAATAATAGTCAAAGATTATTTCATGCACTCACTAACAGAAATTTTATTTTAAAGATAACATCAGATTTTAGAATTTTAGTTTCTAAGCAGATCACATTCAATACAGAAGAAGATCAGGTATATCACAACAGAAAATGACCAGGCACACACAGCAAAAGTAATGTTTTTCTTCAAATTTTGCACAGTCTCTTTATATTTTATTAACTTAAAAACATTAAAAATTAAACAGTAAATGTGGCATGTGCAAAAATGGGGACACTTTTTCAGTTGTAAAGTCACAGAACTCATTTATTAACTGTCATTAAAAATGGTCAAAAATGGAACTGACAGTTCCAGAGCATCATTAAGTAGCTAAGGATCTAAAAATAAAACGAACTGATGCCTACAAAGTTGGGGAATGCTATAAAATGGTAGACTTCCTCTGTCTAAAATGTTATTAAGAAATGGCAGTTAAGGAAAACTGTAACTCAAGGCAAAGTCTGAAAGAGTCATCGGAAGGACATCTTACCTGTAGCCTTATCATCACATTCTAATGTATGCAAGACAACATTTAAATAAACCAGATGCCTTTACTTATTATGCTTTGGGTTGTGTGGCAGCCAGTATCACAAAAAACATTGCACAGTTAAACACTGTCAAGAAATATAAGCCGAAAAGAGAACTTCTACATCAGGACAGTGACCCAAAATATACCTCAAAATCCATCATGAACTACTTTTGGAATGGCCTTCACAACCTCCTGACGTGAATAGCATTGAAAATCTGTGGATAGATCTTAAACATGCAGCGTTTGCAAGACGACCAAAGAATATCACAACAAAAACGTTCTGCAAGGAAGAGTTTAAATTCCAAAAACAAGACTTGAAAGATTCCTTGCAAGTCTCCTACCAAAAGCGTCTGCAAGATTTGATAACTGCTACTACTACTTTGATAACTAGCTACTAAGTATTGACTAGGTTGCTCAAATCTCTGGATCAAATATAAACAGTGTATTAATATTTTTTTTAAATATTTTTTAAATAGGTACATTGGCCCTTATTCATCAATGTCATGTAAAGTCAAGACCACACAACACAAACAAGTTTCATTGACAGTTATTTATTTATTATTTATGTAAGTTTCATTATTAATTAGTTTTATTTTTGGCATATCTTTATGATCAAACTCACATCTGATTTGAGTGAAATAGTTTTACAGCCTCAAGAACATTCTTGACTTGTTATATAACCCAAATATTATCAATTATTTCAATTTTTATTATCAATTATTTCAATTTAGCAATTTATTATAAAAATAAAATAACAATAATATTAATAATTTGTGCATGACAAACCAATTCAAAAGTGGATGCACTTATTTTGTATGCACATTAGTATAGACAAATGCTGCAACTATCCATTAAAAAATATATTACACTGTGCATCTGTTTTGTACTAACACCACCAAAAAAGGCACAGCTAGTGCAGAAGCCATCACATACACTGCAATAATACAAAGTTTAAAAATGTCATGTTTTATTATTTTCAGTTTTATTCTTTTTTTACACTTTAATTTTTGGTCAGTAGGGGGAGCAGTTCACTCACTGCTTAACCTCAGACTCTGTCTATGAGCACAACCATTGGGTCAAGCAACTGCTGAATGATGTTTAATGGGCTCCTTACCAAAACATCTGCATGAATTTGGGCGTGCTTAAGGGCGTTTTCGCACTTGGGCCGTTTCAGCGTCTGAAGTGGATTCATGGTTTCTTTTGCATATGTGAACATGCCAAACGAACTCAGACCAATCTAAACGGCCCAAAAAAAACGAACTCGATACGGTTCGTTTGTAGTTTGTTTTGTGGTTCGATTGATTTGTGGATTGTGAAAACAAAACGGCCCCAGTCCGCTTTAGCTTTGCTTTATGGTGAAGACCTCAAGGCTCACCATACACACAGCCACAGTCTTCAGCAGGTAAAAACAGACTAAGGATCATTTATAATGTTCTACTCAGGATAAAGCATGTTTGTGATCTGCGACAAGACAGCAGTGCTGATGTATTAAAGCGATAAGATGCGAGAGTCCACATGATTTTACTGTGTTAAAGGCTCAAGCTGGGCACACAACACAATTTTAAGCTGCTTTCACACTGAACTCGGAATGAATGAAAATTCACCGCAGACACAGGTTTTTCGTCGGGTGGAGCTCAGTGAGGAGCACAGCCGAAAACGGAGCCCACCGCGGCAGACACGCAGGGTCACTTTTCAAATTTTGCACGATGCACTTTAGCCAATCATTTCAGCGCGGCCAATAGGAGAGCAGCAGGTGTGTCTGGTGGTTCCTCTCAACACCTGGAAGGTTAGATTTATCAGAGAACGCTGCCCACTTTACAAGCACTGCGCACTGTGAGTGCTGTGAAAGGGGTCTGAGTTCTAATGGAGTTGTGGTCTGAGCAAGAAGTGGTCTGAGATCTCAAAGGACCAGAAAGAAAACTGAGTCCTCTTTTTAGTTGACTTACCTTGTGAAAACAAAAAGAACTGAGGTCATTTGCAGTTGGTTCCCTTCCAGGTTCACTTTAGCAGAACTCAGTTCGGTTCTTTTAAAATGAACTATATGTGAAAACACTGACACTTGATTTCATGCACTGAAGCTGATTCATCATTTATGCTTGAATTTCTGCTTGATTCCATATGGTACAAAAGTTTTATCAGACACAGAGTAGTTTGTATGTCACTAAATCTGCATTTTTTACACAACCTTGATGAATGAGGGCCATAATGTATATACATTTGAAGTGTATATATGTACTGGAAATATATTATCTATATATTTTCACAGGTAGCACACCACATAGGCATCATAACCAAGAAGAAATCATAAACTATAAATCAAAAAGCTCTTGAGGTTATTGAAGATGTTTAAGACAAAATAAAAAATCTCTGGACTAATTTCTTTTTTCTATAACTTAATATATCCATCCTAGTAAATTAAAATGTATAAGAGAATTTGTCGGGGTGTATACAAGATTGATTCAAATACCTTTTATTGTTATAATTAAGTGTCCTCATTTGAGTGTGTTGTAAAATCTATGCTTGTTCTTTCTTTATAGACTAGCTTTGTGTAATCTTGGAGAAAAGACGTTTGAAAATCTTGGATCACTTTTAAAACAGGAAAACTCCGCCCTGAAAGAGCTGGATCTCAGTAATAATGACCTGCAGGATTCAGGAATGGATCTGTTATCTGATGGACTGAAGAGTTCACACTGTAAACTGGAAATACTCAGGTCAGTGTTTCTGTCAATTCATTATTGCCTCAAAAATACTTAGCAGCGTTATTCAGTATGTTTTTTATATAAAAAAGATGATGTTGGGCTCGGCCCCCTAGTTCCAGTGAAAGGAACTCTTAATGCTTCTGCAGACCAAGAGATTTTGGACAATTTCATGCTCCCAACTTTGTGGGAACAGTTTGGGGAGTTTGGCCCCTTCCTGTTCCAATGTGACTGCACACCAGTGCACAAAGCAAGGTCCATAAAGACGTGGATGAGCGAGTTTGGTGTGGAAGAACTTGACTGGCCTGCACCGAGTCCTGACCTCAACCCGATAGAACACCTTTGGGATTAATTAGAGCAGAGACTGTGAGCCAGGCCTTCTTATCCAACATCAGTGTCTGACCTCACAAATGCACTTCTGGAAGAATGGTCAAAAATTCCCATGAACACTCCTAACCCTTGTGAAAAGCCTTCCCAGAAGAGTTGAAGCTGTTATAGTGGCCGACATCATATTAAACCCTATGGATTAAGAATGGGATGTCACCCAAGTTCATATGTGTGTGAAGGCAGATGAGCGAATACTTTTGGCAATATAGTGTATTTACTGCTACAGTAGAAAGAAACTGCGTTCTAAAAGAAGACTTACAGATGACAGGATTAATTTAAACATTCATTACAACATGTTTTTAAATGATCAATATTATATTTGATATTATATATAATATATCAAAATCAACAATATTTTCATGCTGCAGTTTCTGTTTCATCCTAATACCTCTTTTTCCTATATAATTGCTCTCTTTAAATCTCTATAATTGCTCTTCCCATTGCAGACCAGAGGTTGGTGTTTTCTTGGTTTCTCTCAGTTCTACTCTTCAGTTCTTCCTCATGCTCTTAGGGAGTTTTTCCTTTTGATTATTAGTTCCTCTCAGTGGTTCTTTCTCATGCTCTTAGGGAATTTCTCCTTTTCAGTCTTTGTTTCCTAGGTGTCTATGTTGAAGAGTGCTGTAGTGGAGGTGGCTACACAGATATATTGGATTAAATTACAAATCTGCTCTCAGATGATGACACACACTTTGACAGACTTTTTGATTTTTATTTCATTTGTAATTACAAAGCAATAAGCCTAACATCAGTTATACATACCAGGAGACTACACTAGTGCAGATTTAGATATGTTTAATTTGGTCTGTTTATGAATAAACACTTGTGTCTCTTTAAATATCTTTTTATGCTGAACAACTTCATGATTCTTTGACATTCATTACTAAAAACTGATGATCTACATTCATTCAGAGATACAAGATTAACATTTCAGACCAGAGCAAACACTATATTTTGTTTATATTTAGAACGAAAAACAATACCAACATAAGCGCTTAGGTTCTGAATCTGAAACTGGCTTACTTTGCTGCAGATCATTGCTGGAAGACAAGATGGCGCCCTGAGAGGCAGCCACAGTGTTTTGATGTGTCATGTGTTTGTGTGTTTTGCTTGTTAAATTGCACATGGAGTCACAGTTTGGCTAATTTTCAACTGGTATGAGCATCTGTACATTTGGGGCTTAACTCCACAAATTAAATTTTTGAATTCATATTACACCTGCGGAGATTCTTCAGAGCTACTCATTGGGAGATCACCAACCGTCCTCCTGCAGCAAAGAGAAGGAGAGCCGGAGATATGTAGGATACATGGCAACACACTGACGCAACTTCAGAGACATGGCTTTCGAACTGGCAGTTCCAAACATATTTCTCTCCATAATGCACTCACTCGAAAACAAAATGGGTGATTTGAAACTGCTGGTAAGAATAAAAAAGGACCTTTCAACATTTGCTTCAGTGAGAGGTGATTAAATGAAATTACTCTTGACATCGTAGTGGAGCTGCCCAACTTTTCACAGTACAGAGTGGACCACAACCCAGTTACAAACCCAAAGGTGGAGCACTATGTTTTTACATTAACCAGAGGTGGTGGAACTCTTCTGGCCAGAACATGCTCTTCTGAACTGGAAGCTCCTACTATCACTTGCAAGCCATCCTACTCACCTCATGAATTAACTCTATAATTCTGGTTTACTCTTTATTTCAGGATTTATGCCCCCCCTCCCCCAGCCCCCCCAAATTGGCACAAGCCAACTTAACACAACAACAGCTGGCTGACCAGATAATGGAGATTGAACAGGAACACTCAGACTCTCCTATCATCATTGAAAGACATGGTTGAAAGACTTCAACCACACCAAACTCAATGCTGAATGGACTAGGACTCCTTAAAAATCTACATTTACAACAATAATAAATCCTGGTTCTCCAATGAGCTCTGGAAACTGCACACAGCCAAGGAAGAGGCTTATAGCTGTAGTGACCATGGTGCATCCAAAAGAGCAAAATATTCACTCAACAAAGCAATCAAAATTGCCAAAAAAAACTCAGCGCTGGTGCTCCACAGGGCTATTTGCTCCCCCCCTTATAATCTCTCTCTCTCTCATTGACTGTACTTTTAACAGTGACTCTGTTAAACTTATTAAGTTTGCAGAGTACACTATCATGATCGGTTTCATCTCCAGCAATATATTAATCAGGAGAAAGTAAAGTGGCTGGTGTCATGGTACAGAGCTAACAACCTGAAGCTAAGCCCAAAAAAGGGGAAATGACCACTGATTTCAGAAAGAAACCTACTCACTGCCTCCATTGGAAATACAAGGTTCCACAGTTAGCAAAGCATAACCTTACAAGTTTCTGGGCATTACCATTCAGCAGGATCTTAAATGGGAAATACATAGCATTGCAGTTATGAAGAAGGCCCAGCGGTGCCTGTGTTTCCTGCGACAGCTCAAGAAATCTGGACCACCTCAAGTATTGCTGGTCCAGTTCTACACTGCCATAATAGAATCCATTGTCACATCCTTGCTCTCCATCTGGTTCGGTTGTACATCTTTGCACACCAAGCGTAAGCTATAGCAACAGTGTGATGTGCAGAGAAAATCACTGGCTGTCAGCTCCCCACCCTCAAAGACATTTACTTATCTAGGATGAGGAAGAGGGCAGGAAAATCATGGCTGACCCCTCACACTGTGTGAGAATGAGACCCATAAATACTTGGATCAACAGCCACCTCCACAGTTTCTTTTCCCAGGCCTTCATCCTCCTAAACAAGGACCCTTCTCACATCCATCTGCTTTAAACTGCTGCACATGTACTTTAATACCATAATTGTAATGATTAAGGACATTTTCAACTTTAGTCAGTGGACATATGCAGTTGTACTATAATATACATATTTTATAAATAATATTACATTTATATTAGCTGCTTAAGTCCTTTACCTGCACATACTGTTTATTTGTACTTCAGTACTTTATTGTAACTGGATTTATCTCCCATTTAACATCCTTTGTATTACTCACAGTTTGTTTGTGCACTGTCTGTTTTATTTAGATACATAGTATATATTTTTTTTCTAGATTTATTTTATTATATTTTTTTCATGTTGACACCTGCACCAAAAGAAATTTGTTGTACAACAGGTACTTGGTGGATAAAGATTCTGAATCTGATTAGTGTATATTTAGTTTAAATTTAGTATATTTAGGATAAGAGCTGCTGATCTGCTGATTGTGTTGTGTTTCTTGTCTGGAAGTTAATATGTTTCTGAGTTATGAAACTGAGAAGATGGCATGGAGAATGCCCACAAAATATGTTAATCAGGTTCTGAGGGTTAATAAAACTGGACTTGTGTTGGCAGGAAAAAATAAGGTGCAAAAAGTTTGAAAAGAATGTGAATGTCTAAAAAACACCCTTCTTTGTCACATGGCTTTACATCACATGACTAAAACAACTGGATGCTGTTATTTATATTGAGACCTTCTATTCTTGCCAGAGAATGTCCTTGAGTATGTTTTTATATTTTTTAAAATTGTGTGCAACTATGTGTTTTAGTATTTTTTTGTTAAGTTCTATTTGACACCAAAGTGAATCATTTCTCTCACTCTTTTGTTTATTTTCTTCCTTTTTCTCTCTCTGCAGATTATCTGGTTGTATGATCACAGAGAAAGGCTGTTCCTCTCTGGCTTCAGCTTTGAGTTCAAACTCCTCACACCTGAAAGAACTGGATCTGACCTACAACCACCCAGAAGAATCAGGAGTGAAGCTGCTCTCTGCTAGACTGGAGGATCCACAGTGCTCACTGAGCACACTCGGGTATGAATAATTGTGTTTGGAAGTCTGTGTGTGTGTGGTGGAATCAAAATGATTGAACTACTGAAGGCAGTAATTATGTGCTTGTTGTTTATTTCTGACAAAGCTCTTCAGCATATGTATCCTAGTTTATGTAGGCTCTAATGTCTTTAAAAGGAGGTCATTCTTCTAGACTGCAGCGGACTCTCCTAGACTGCTCTTATTCACCTAGATGGCTCTCACTTTCCCAGTCTGCTCTCATTCTCCTAGACCACTGTTAATCTTTTTGACTGTTCTAGACTGTGCTCATGTGCCTAGCATGCTCTTTCTCACCTACAATGCAACTCTGTTACTGCTCTCTCGCTCCTAGACTGTGCTCACTCTCTGCTCTCACTTTCCTAATCTGCAGTAACTCTTCCAGACTGGACTAACTCTCCTAGACTGTGCTCACCCCTGGACTGCATTACATTCACCTCTGATGAAACCTAGCTTGCATTGTTATATCAAAAACAACTAAAGTGTCACTGCTCCCCAGTTTCAGTCTCCATTTCCCAAACACTTTAGTCGAGCACACTAACGTTACTCCTCCTAATAAACACACACGTTCAGCTCTGTCTCCTCATTATTCACCACCATCACTGTAATATTGTATCTGATGAGTTTTTTAATCAACAATAACACAAAAAAGGTAATAAGAGGGGACGGTGGAGTTTTCGGTGTAGAAAAATGTAGTCATTATGCTACTTATAGTGAACTGTGCTGCTTATCACTGCATAAAACAATAGAAACAGACGATTAAAACAGAAGTTAAGACGCTCTGGGTTTGTCTTAAAGTTAAGAAATTATTTAGGATATTTTGGCGACTTAGGATGTTTCTGTAAAACCATATTCTTATCTGGAAATAAGAGATTATAGACTTTAGAACTGTTGTTCTGTAATGGCTTCTTTCCTAACTTCAGTCTTAACAGAAGTCAACAAAGAAGACAACAAAGCAGATAAGATATGATCTCAGACTTAAGAATTTTCTGTAATATGGCCCCAGGAGTACATTTAACCACAGCAGTGCTAGAACTTATATCAGCACTCAACTAGAACATATATCAGATTCTCTGTGTTGGGAAGATTCTAAAATGTGATCAAATTCATATTCCATATCAGAACTTTGTGCTTTCAGTTAGAAAGTGCAGCTCTTTGTCAGTCTTATTAGTTAGCAGTGCTTGACACACTCATTGTCCTTTAGGCAGACAAGACTTATCGTATCTGCCTCTCTCTCTGACCAGGCCGTGGTCTCTGAGTCTGCACTTCATCAGTGTGGATCTCAGTTTTACAAACCCGGTTACAAAAAAGTTGGTACAGTAGGAAAAATCCCTATAAAATATAAACCAGTGATTTGTAAATTTACTTTGATCTCCATTTAAATGAAAAGAGTATAAAGACAAGATATTTAAAGTTTTACCTTTCAAACATAATTATTTTTTGTAAATATATGCTTATTCTGAAACTCAGGCCTGTTGCATGTCACAGAAAAGTTAGTGGGATAGGGGCAATTTAAGACTGGAAATGTTGTGAAATGTTCCAAAAAAAACAAAAAACAACAACAAAAAAAAAACAACTCTTAAACAGGTAATGCAATCATGCTTGGGTATAAAAGAAGCATCCAAGAAAGGTGGAGCCATTTATGAGTGTGGACTGATCAAGGCTCACCACTTTGCCAAAAAAAGTGTTGAAAGTTTAAGAATACCATTCCATAACAAGCATTTGCAAGGATTTTAGGGATTTCACACTCTACAGTGCATATCATCAAAAGATTCAGACAATCTCTGTGAAATCTCTGTGCATAAAGGGCAAGGCAAAACCAAAGGACCATCCCAGTCGGTACCAGCAAAAAGTTCAAAAGCCAGGTTCTGTCATGGTACGGGTTTATGTTAGTGCCAATGGTATGGGATTGGTGTTAGTGGGTGACTTGCACATCTTTGGAGGCACCATTAATGTTGAGGGGTACATATGCATTTTGAAGCAACATATGCTGCCCTCTAGACGACGTCTTTTTCAGGGACATCCCTGTTCGTTTCAGTAAGACAATGCCAAGCCAGATTCTGCACATATTACATCAATGTGGCTTCATAGTAAGAGAGTGCAGGTGCTAAACTGGCCTGCTGGCAGTCTAGACCTGTCTCCCATTAATAAATATGCTACATTATGAAGTGCAGTATATGACAACAGAGACCCTGGAAACTGATGAGCAGCTGAAGTATTATATAAAGCAAGAACAGGAAAACAGTTCCACTTTCACAACAACAACCACTGGTGTCCCTAGTTTTCAAATGATTACAGAACATTTGTTAAACAGAAAGGTGTTGCAACACAGCGGTAAACATGCTCCTGTCCCAACTTTTTAGAACATGATGCAGGTACCAAATTTAAAATAAGCATATTTTTAATTTACATTTTACCAAACTGACAGTTTTTGAAATGGGTTTGTAGATCATTGGGTGATTTTGTGTTTGAGATTTCCAATAGGTGATATAGTTTTGTTTCAGCTGTTTTGTAACTTGGTTCATTCTAATCAGGTTTGCTGATGTTTTCCAGGGTAGAGACTGTATGTGTGTTAGTGGGGTATGAGTGATTTTTAGGGCCAGGTGAGTGAGGGGACTCTTGGTACTGAAGAACTTTATAATCATATTTGTTAGAAATGTATTCAAATCTGATTGCATAATTCAGCCTAATTCAGTCCTGCCTCCATGCATTGTTAGTGGTGTTCCTGTCCAGCTTCAAAATAATTTTACAGAACTCCACAGCCCCAGCAGGAGAATTCATGAGTGGGGCATGCGAAAAACACAGGGGGGCAACTGAAAAAAACCTGAAAGCTTTCTAAGATCATACACTATTAAACATGAAACAGGGCAGAAGTTTATTTGAAGTGTTCCTAAGGTTTGATGTAACATATTGCTTTTGTTCATACTAAAATTAACAAATAAAATTTTGCTTTGCATTCAAAGAAATTCAAATAATTGATTTGAATAAGACCAGTTAAATTGTTTGTTACAACATTAAGTTATGTTTTAGGTTGAACTGATATACTGTTTTTTATATTGCATTTAGTGCATTTAGTAATGTGACAGTTTCTTCTCATGATAACAATAAATGTAATCATACTGTCCACCCCTAGAAAATAGGCACAAAAATACATAGATGGAAACCTAGCTAATAACTTTACAGTGAGTGTGTGCGAGGTTTAGAAAGCTGTCTAAGTGTTTGAATGTCTACAATTGCTTTCTGGAACTCGTCTGTGCTGTTTTAGGTCCATCTGTATGGTCTCCTGATGCTGTACAGCTCACTGGGCTGAGTGTGTTCAGTGCTGATGGTCTCTGTCCTTTTAATGAACACAGTGATTTGGCTGTGGTCAGACAGAGGGGTCAGCAGTTTAACAGTGAATGCACTGAGAGAGAAAGGGTCTAAATCTGTTATCATATAGTCTACTGTGATATTCCCAAGAGGTGAGCCAAATGTGTATTTCCCAAAGAGTCCCCTCATAATGAACGACTGATGATGTACAGACCCAGTTGTTTCTGTTTATCACATTGTCATGGTTGTTTCTGTAGGGTAAAGGGAACTGGTATTAATAAATACAGTACATTGTATTGATAGGAAAATAATCCATGTTTTGACATTCAGGTTTGAGCAGATGAGCACATTTTACTGGTTCTGGAAATGGCACGTCTGTCTCCTTAACACAGAAAACGTGTCTTCCCAGTAGTAGGGGGCTCTAAGGGTGTGATGTCTTTGACACAGAGGAATACAGCGCATGTTCTTCTGTGAAGAAGTAGTGTTTCCATTTTAAGCCGAATACATTTTCTTGTTTTTAGAATGTGTTTAAATTATTAGTCCCTCTGAGCATCTGCCTTGATGCACTGTGTTCAGCTATTTGATAATTTCTCTGTATTTTCTGGAACAGTGAGTGACAGTGTCAGCCTTGCTCCACGTTTCCTGTAGGATCACAGTGTCAAGGTCTTTGATACAGACTTGAAAGTCACTGTTTAAGTTTTTCAAGCCCAAATTAACATGAGCTGAAGCAGTAACATCAGTATGAAATTAATTGAATTCTGAAGCAAATCATGCATAAGGTTAATGCAAAAAGGGAAAGATTAATCACTTCTCTAACAGTCAAGAGCCATGTGCAGGAGTGGCCTGATATGCAAACAGAATGAACATGTTTTCACTGGTTGAGGAGAGATGTGGTTTTCTTGCTGTGTTTGGTGTGTTTGAGAGCTGAGAGCTCCAGGTGGCTCCAGTAGAATGCTAAAGGCTTTTCTCTGTACTGATCATTCTGGAGTGCATTTCCTTTCATCACTACTTCATTAACTATATATATATATATATATATATAACTATATATACTTTCTTGATCAGATGGTAAGGCTGAAGCTAATATCAAAACTAACCATTACTGGCCTTCATCATATGTGAATTTTTTATTTTTATATTATTTTTATATTTTGTGTGGTGGTAATAGTAGCTGAATTAGTAGTAATAAAAGGTGTTACAAATAAATAACAAACATAAAAACAAAACTGTACACATATCCAGGACTCTTATGTTGACAACAGTGATGTTTGCGTTTGAATGGACTATCAAAACTTTATTGTTCTGAGCATGGACACTATGCTGTCCACTGTTGTCTGCACTGGATGCCGTATATTTCTACTTTATCTGTGGATTTGCTTCAGAATTCGATTCATTTCATACTAATGTTACTGCTTTAAGTTTCAGCCGTGTGGTTAATCTGGTGTGCAGCATTTTATCCTACTTTATTTTGAAAGACAATGGCATTAGCCTAGCTTTTTTCTGTTAGAGATCCTCCTTTAAGGACTGTCTGAGTTCTTTATCATAAACAGGCTGCTGTGTAACATGAACAAAGCAAGACCTGATTACAGTTTTCTATGGCAGACAGGTATGGAATGGTAATGTTATCTAGGCAGCTAGTTTGTGATATTGTTAGTTAATGTTTTTGTTCTTGCACATGT